TCTCTTTTTTTTTTAATAATTTAATTAAGGTCTGATAGTAGGCTAGACTGGTCAGACCTACACAAACTGAATGAATGGTATTCATGGATAACTCCAGGACTTGAATCAGGGATTAGGATCAGAGAAGATCAGGAATTAATGGATTAACGATTAAATTAAACTTGATTGACTTAATTACTTGATCATAGTTTAAACACAACTGCTGTACTACATGAACTACATGTTTAAAATACTATGAAAACATTTAAATTCCCATCTCATTACTTTATCTAAGTGAAATGTTTTTTTTTTTCTATTTGTTTGAACTTTAGTTCCATGTACTTTGCAATGTGTTTGTGATGTATTTTTGTATATGTAGATTACTGTACTGTACGCAAATATTTTTTTTAATGTATTTTATCTCTACGTTTCAGAGGTTTTTGATTAAAAGTAAAATTTTTTTTTAATTTTCGTAAAGTACAGAATTTCAAAGAGTATAAGTCCATGCTCAAGTACTGTATAAGCCCATTCCTAACGTTAGGCTTCATTTCAGAGGCTAAAATTAATCTGAGTATAGGCCTAAGCCCATGTATAATTTTCACAACTGAAGTATAGCTGGACTGATTAAAAGTCGTGAAACAAAAAGAAAGCGTTGAAATTAAGAATTCCATCATAAAAAAATCTGATCACAAAGATAAAAATTAGATTTTACCATTAGTACTGTACTGTATCTTTAAACTACTGTCATTTGGTATAGTACTAGTAATATAATTTGGACATTATTTATTTATTTATTTATTTATTCTTTCTTTATACTGCAGGCACTTTCAGTACTAGTGCACTGATTTTCAAAGTGGTACAGTAGATATCTTATAAACAGGATACTATAAAAGGAATCAAATTTATAAATAAAAAATATAAACAAACATAAAAACAAAAATCAGTCATAGAGAAAATTCAATGCAAATCTTGTGTAATAAGGAAATTTTTAAATGTATGAATTTGGTATAGTACTAGTAATATAATTTGGACATTAAATTGGATGCCTAGCATACCTATCTATTTGATTAATACCAACGCCAGTTTATGGAGAGATAAAAGCTTATATTTTACTGCAGTGCCAACTAAATGATATGATCTGTTCAGTCGCCCTAATTAATTAATGCAATACATACGTCTCATTTTTGGTTAAAGACTGTTAGTGACCGCTTTATTGCTGTAAATCTAGACGTCATATAATTTCTTTGATGTGCTATCAAACAAAATAACAAAATATAATAATTATAATTTCAACATACTGAAACTTGACGCAGGGTACCCGGAACGCCGCCCTCAGCGGCGTGTGCGAAGCGCAACTCATAGTCAGAAGTAGAACGTGAAATTTTGATACGGTTTTGTAGTCAGATTTGCGAGAAAAACTTCAGCTTCCCGTATTTCTCGACTGAGACGTTAGTGGCAGCTGTAATTTGTATGGCAAGGAGATGGAGCTACCCTTAATTCGTATTGAGGGAATTTATGCCCACAAACCTTGTAGTTATTAATAGTTTGGTTATAATAGAAAATTTTAATTTTTTGGTGACATCACACTCACAATATAGTTAGCATGCAGTCAATGTTAAAAGTTGTTACCACAGTACTATGTATTCAGAATGATCAGAATGCAGATGATGACAATATTGCCTAGTGTAGAGTAGCTAAATTGAAATTGACTGAGCATGTGGTAAACTCAGGTTATTTCACAATAACTACCTTTAACCTTGTTTATTACTAATGACTGTAACATGTTAGCACAATAGCTATTATGCAAATACTGTATATTGAGAAACAATCTGTATTGTTTAGATGCATTGTGAAACAGACTGCATGCCCAGAATCAGGTTACTGTATTATTAAATTATGAAGGAATTACACAATATTGTAGTGTCAAAAAACCGAGAATGCCCATATATAGACATGATGTGGCTATATATGGTCATGCTCATGTGATGTCATTATGACCATATTTAGGCATGTCACATGCTTTTTTTTCTAATAAAATTTGATAGATACTGTACTTATGAAAATTTGACAAGTTAATGTAAGTTTGAGTTTTTTTTAAATGTCTATGATATGGTATATACAGTAATAATACGGACTATAATACTACAGTAATAGTTAGTCTTTCAATTGACCCTGCCTTACTGAAAAGTGAACTTATCATTTCCACATTAAACCCATCAACACTCAGCCTTCATACAAATTCATCCTGAGTCCATTTGTAATGCCAGTATTTCTATAATTGTTTTGTTATCATAAATTGTATACTTCTGGCCCTTCAATTGAATTGAGATGAAAAGTTTTTTTATATTTTTTTCCTCCGATGCAAGTGACTCACAGTCAGTGTAAAGTACAGGATGGAAGCGATAATGTGAATTAAACTTCATTGCATTGTCCACACTTTAAAATTGTATTTGACAAAAAAACTGTTGTATGCCCATATATAGTCACGATATGCCTATATATGGTCATGATGTGATGTCATCATGACCATATTTAGGCGTGTCACATGGTTTTGTCAAATAAAATTTGATAGTCTGGACAGGGTTTAAGAGAGTGAAGAAGTGAACAAAATATATCTTGACATAAAAGAATAAACATGGATACTGGAATTGCCACAGCACCATATAAAATCAATCAATCAATTAATAAAGAAATCAATCAATCAATCAATCAATTATTCAGTCAATAAAAAACACAATAGCGTTTACTGAAAATTACAGTACAGGATGATAGTGATATTGTGACTTAAATCTCACTGTTGCATTATCTACACTATAAAATTTTATTTGACAAAAAACTGTTAGTGTGGGATCAAACTTAGAGCAAAGTAATCATTTTTTTTCCAAAAGACCAAAAAGCCCAAATTCAATAAAAAAAAAAAAACTTAATATTTTTTATTTTATTTTATTTAATTACTATTAAATCCCATCCATGGTATCAGATTACATATTGTATGTGTAACCATCAGTACAAGTTTAAGCGACAGAAAATTATTTAAAAGATGAATAACAAAAATAATAAATGTCAACAGCAATATTTCTCATTAATAATGTAATTGTATTTGTTTGACCAATTGGTCATGTGTTCAATTTTCTTGTATTTCATTGCACCTACTCTACCTCACCTATTTTCTTAAGCCTTGTATAAAATCAATAGAATTTATAGTGGACCTATCCAGGTAAGTATTCATGAAATAGACTTTGTGTTTGTGGCATTAAATATTAAATTGAATTTTAAATTTTCAATGACATACTTAATCCAACAATGTATTTCAAATCAAATTATGCAATGGTATGAATACACAATTCAGACTTCTAAATTTGGAAAGGAGCTGTGCCCTTGTGTTTGCCTTCAATTTAAGGGTTCTTGGTTCAAGCCTTGCTGAATCATTTTTTTTTACACCTAAAGAAGGTGCACTACTACTGCATGTGACTCATTTGTATAGAACATCACATAGATTAGCCGCAAATCGTGAGTCACATTCTGTTGGATAATTATGAAATGAAGTTTTTAACGATGACACAAGTTTGAAACATCAGAAATTCTGTGGTATAGTACCAGGGAACAAACCCAAATCCTGGAATAACAATATGTGTGCCAAACCAAATTATTGCAATCTGATGAACTGCCAACAATAATCGATGTTTTAAAATTAAACTTAATAACAGGTGAACAAAATTACTTAAGTAACATACTGTTCGTGTAAAGTTGGTGCAGTGTACAGGTTGGTGGTTTAAAATAATATAAAATACACACAAAAAAAGTTAAACTGCAAGTGATTTGTGAAAATTGCAAATTAAATAATCATATCACTAAAACTGGTTTCATGAGATTTAGTTTATACAGTATTTAAGAATCACCAATTATTTACAATAATATGTAAATAAGTCTTACCAATAGAAAGTTTTATAGCATAAATAAATCAAAGTCCATTGATTTAGAGTGTACTACTCTTTGTCTCAAAAGATTTTCAAAAACAGTGTAAAGCAATAACATAATTTAATAAGGATAAGGAACATTAAGACTGTGACTGCCTTAATATTGCAAGCTATAAAAATTATAAAGCCTCTGCAGTCACCGTGTCTTATTTCTGTAATTCCAGATATTGACTGACCAAGGAAAATAAATATTACATGCAAAGTTCAAGTTATGTGGACATCTGGATTGAAATTATCATTTGGATGTCTCGATACTTGGGACGTGGAGCCGTATTCAGTTGTGACAAAAATCATGATTGAGCGTCACAATTGGGTTCCAAAGGTTGCTGGCTCAAAGCATGTATTAGTCCCTATTTCTTTTTGCTCCACTTCACGCTATAATGAATACTAGTCTCCCTCAAAAGAAAGACACCCTCCAATTAAGGGCCACCTCCAATCAAAGACCATTATTCTGTGGTCCCAAATTAACAAATTTATTTTATATTTATTATTCTAATGAGAGACAAAAGCTGCTAAAGACCATAGAAATCCCAGTCCCAAAAGTGGTCATTAATTGGAAGGAGACCTGTACTTGCACAATGGTTAATGCAAATTCAGCAAAATCACAAAACTTGCGAGCAAGGAGGACAAAATTTTTGATGATGTTTACATTTGCATTGTGATAAACTAATGAAAATAAATGCAAGATATCTTAAGCCAATGTTCAGCAGACCTGACCTATTTTTCATCAGTGGGAAAATTAAGTGGATCTTGATTAAAACCACAATGTGACGTAGAGTGCAAGACAGATTGTATTCACTGATGGTTTGCGCAGCCACCAAGGAAGAGCAGACAGTGTCAACACCTCAAAAACAGAGGATTTGTCAGCTGACGCAGCGTGTGCCCAGTTTTACAACGCTAAACAACCACTCTCAACAAATGAGTTCCATTTCAAAGTTATATTTTTATCACATTTTATATCGATGCTAAGAACAAGAAAATAAATAAAGGAAATACTGTATATACTGATCTTAAAAGTCATAAAAATAACTAAATTAAACTCACTTTCCAATGACTTCGCATAGTTCATAAACATCGTCGAATAAAAGGTCCTCCTCGGCCATGGTACACTATCTCCCGTAGTCTCAATCCTACGAAATATTAACTGCAAAAACATAAAAAATAATTTCCTTTCTTTCAAATTTCTTTAATTAGAAGGCTATGGCAGATAGGCTAAACACACCTACTGTATTTATTTATTTATTTAGCACACACTTGCACCAAGGATTGGCAATAGCAAATATATCACTGTCCTAAGTAGGTGACAATCCCTTTTGCAAATGAACATACAATCACAATGCTTTAAATACACACACAAACTAAATCTCAATATGGGAGTTAAGTTGTTTTGGTCGTGAGAAAAAATTCTGACAGGAACTGAACCCAGGGAAGTGTGGAAAGGATTTTTTTTGTTATTTATTATCTTAAAATTTTTTATTTTTACAGGTTTTTAAAGTAAGGATATTAAGATTATTAGAGGGTTGATATCTTAAATTTAAACATTATAAAATATATTTTGTATCAATTTTCAGATACAACAAAAATAAATTGAAGGTACTGTATACAACAAAGCAATGACATTTTACAATCAACCTAGCTTTACAATAAATCAAGAACAATCTTAATATAAAATAATAAAATAAATATTTGAATTGGGAGAATCTCTAATTGTTTTTGGTTCTGCGGAAAATAAGCGATCCAACAGGATTGAACTAATTAACCTAGAATTGGAATGTGAAGACCTTATCCACCATAAACTCGAAATACAATGTGTAAATTGAGGTGGATATTTACCATGTGGAGGTATAAGAATAAACTGTTTACAAATTAATACCGTACTGTATAACCTGCCTATAAATAAGGCAAGTAACAACAATTGCAATGTAGAAACAAAAGGTTTTAGGTCCGGCCCTAAAGGGACCTGCCCAGAGGGCTGATCGGATCGTTAATTCACAGCATGCAGACTCGAGGTGTTCCACAGCTGTGGCTAAAAATAGGCAACACTGCGGTCCGTCCCTAAAGAGACCCGCCCAGTGGGCTGATTGGATCGTTGATTCACAGCATGAAGACCCATATGTTCCACAGGGAATCTTGTTGCTAAAAATAACTTGTTACATCATGCATTACAAGTGGGCGGTCTTCCTTGTGATGGGTGCGTTTGGTTGGATTGGTTGTTTTTTGGGCAAAAACTAACCTACGACATCAAGAAAGTTTAGGCAACGGCTGGCCTAGCTCGAGGTACTGTAAAGAGCAAAGCCTAGGCGCCTAGGCCTATGCCTACTAAAACTATAATTTGTTCCCTTCCCCGTCTCCCACCCCACCCCAAAAAGAAGGGGGATAAAAACCTCCTGCCCTCATCATTTTTTTTTTAAAGAGAGTGAAATCTAATAATTTTTTCTATGTGCTCTTAGCAGAGACAATAACAATAAATCAAACAGTTCACTCATTAATAATTATACATGTAGGCCTACTTACTATACTTTAAACACTTCCAATTAAATTCAAGCAAAGATTCTCATAGAAAATCTTGTCTTAACTCCAGTCCAAACTTTATTTAAAGTACACAGAGTGCAGCATATATTCTGTCTTGATAGGTTACACATAATCTAGCTAGGGACTGGGCCTAGTCCTATTCTTAGTTTAGGTTAGTCAAACAAGTCAAGATTAAACGGCTGACCTAGCTAGCACACACAAAAATCTATAGGCCTACTTCAGACTTCCATCAAAAATCATTGAAGCAAGGCAGTAAGTGCAGTTATTTATAAAATATGGATGTACAGTATAATGTTGTATTTTCAATTTGTATTTAGGGCCTAAATCATATAAAACACTATCTATAAACACACAAGACAACCAACACTTAAAAAACAATCAATCATACAGCTTGGTTGCCCTAACTAAATAATAAATATCTTGATAGACACTGTTCGCTATTCGTAATAAACAATTCGACCATCGACGATATGACAGATAGGCCTAGCTAGTAACAGACACCAACTTCTCGGTACCCTAGGCCTATCACAAACACAGCACGGATGTCCTTCAAAAGCCAGGCAATGTGATGAACTCACGTCATCTTCTTTCCCTTGATTGACTGCAAAACATTTCAGCCTGGCCTAGGCCTAGCTAGCATAGCCTGGGCCTATGCAAGCAAAATAATTACTTCTTCCTTTCAGACATACTTACATTCCAAAAAATACTATGACGCCTGTTTTTACAGACTTGGTTTTCAACAGAAGAACTAAATAAATTCCCTAAGAGAACGTATAATCTTAATATTCAACCTCTTCAACAACTTTTCAACATTAGAATTTAGTGCACAGGGCTGGGCAATTCAAAGGCGCATGCGTAGCGACCTTATTCGCGAATGATGGGATACAAATAGATAAACACACCACCACAATACGACTTTGGAAAGACTACAAACTTTACATTTTACAAGAGGGAAGCATTACGTCAGGACGTCAGGACGTTTCCCCCTGCGTACTGAAAATGATAAAATAAAGATATTTTTTTAGCGAAACATAAATCGAGATTTCATGTTCACATAATGAGAGTAGATTTGTTAATCTTTGACAAAAATATAAATCTGAAAAATAAATAACAGACTGATAAATTGGTTTGTTCACTCAATAAAAAAAATAGGGCATATTAAATGCTTTAACATGATAAAATAATTTATTAACTTTTAATGAGACACCAGTCAATTCAGTTTTTATAGGTGACGTTTAAGGAAATTCTTAAATTTAATAACGGTAGATTACAGGTCTATGGAGAAAATTGGAGTTAAGTTGTATACTACTTCAAGACGCTTGCCTTCTAATCAAATGGTCCTGGTTCAATTTATTTATTCCTGTTACGTAGCACTTTCTCGGCTTTATTAAAATAAATCTATTCCCTAAAAGCCTCATAAAACTGGTTTTTAAAAAATGCATGGTAGAATCGGATGCGAATAAAAAGGTGGTGACGCAAGATAATTGTCCGGCCCTCTAATATATATCGAGAGGGGACGGATACGTACTTTCTCTCTTATCATCTCGCAATGTGAGTACTACATAGTTGGGGTACTTTTAAATAACATAAAAGGCACGGACCACTGATCTCTACTATAGCTCATTGGCTAGTTTTAGCGCGGTCACCGACGCCATGTTGGAGGGCCTATGTGACGTATTTTTGTTTAGCTATGTTTGTTTTGGTATTTGTTTAAATTATTGTTAAAAATAACGATTCTTGCAATAACTTTTAATAATAAATTTAAATTTAAATTAATGATTATTTTTCAAATCATCTAACCACTTGAATTTACTATTTATGCAACTTTTTTAAAAAAGTGCAAGCAAAGTTATATGCGTTGTTAGTGATCAATGCCATTATAACAACGCGACTTCGCTCGTGCTTTTGTAAACTGCATAAACAGTCACGTCGAGTGGTTAGATGATTTGAAAAAATTCTTACGTTTAAATTTAATTCTTATTTATTGAAAAGTATACGGTATATATACTGTCTCTTATACACATCTAGATGTGTTATGTATATATAATTATGTGTATATATATATACATGTAGTAGTGTGTATTTTTTGTGTTTATTAAGCCTTTGATTCTTATTATTTGATTAATTTATTTTGCTATTCTTTTAAATTCCCCTTTAGATTAAAGTAATACAGTTCTAGGATAGGTTATCAACCTGAGCTGCATTCCATTTTCTATAGTCTACAGTATGCAATACTCTCTATTTCTTAGTAGATTGTTCCCCTGGATTTAGTCAGTGTATTGTACATTCCTGTGGTCTTATAAGGGAAGTGTCCTGTCCACCTAAACTTGATGGATGACCGGAACCAAGATAGGGAATGGAAAGTGACTTAGGGTGTTAACCAATACTAGGAACCAATAAGAATTAAATTTTCTGATGATTAATAAAAATAATAAACCAATGGAATACGTTAATATGCGAACAAGGAGGAGTCATGTCCTTCTTTAAAACACTCCCAACAGTTTGATAGAGAGGAGCAGTTGAGAAAGAAATCCAGTCCAGCGAGAGGAGAGCGGTACCTCAGCCCGAGGGCAGTGGCTCTGGCCATTTGGCTATTCCATCAGAGTACTGTACCAACAAAATTCTACACTGTATTCCACCCCTGTCCAAAGCCACCCCTGTACAAAGCCACCCAACAATGGATTATACCATTGTAAGGTAGGGGTGGTCGACAATGGGGCTGATGCTGGTCTACAATGGGGTTGATGCTGGTCTACAATAGGTTTTTGCTGCAGTGCTATGAGTGTCTTTGTATCAGCTTTTGTGTATTATGAATTAGAAACTGGGTGTAGTCTACATAGGCATAAACATCATCAGCTTCTAATGATGCAATTGAGTGGGGGGTTTTTTTTAATTTTTATATGATAATATTGATCTATGTTTTTATACATACTTTCATTACTATTGATATACTATATTAATAGACAGTATTTTATCAGGTAAAAAACAAGGTATACTTTACTTTTGTTATACTTGTATACTGTAATGCAAGGCTATATTTTCTTTTTCTTTTTTGATTATTTATTATTCTTAATTGTATCAGAAGTAACAGCAATCAAAGTAAGGTGTTTACTATGTTAATGATTATAGTGGAACATAAATGCCTCTCAATCATAAATTTATCATCGTGGAAATTCAATTTGTCTGGCCATAACATATAACATAAAGGCATTGTCATCGAAATGTCCTACTTATTCATTTTTTTTAGTTCAATAATTAATAGTAATTTCTCAAAAATTTTATTATAATAAAAAAATAATATTAATACTACTGAAAAAAAGAAAAAGAATAAAAGTTTAAAAAATACATTTCCACTTAATTGCATAATTAAGAGAAGCTATGATGTTTATGCCTGTGTAAGGGAAATTAATATTAAGGTACACTGTAAAAAGAATAAATTGTTGACTGTAAAAATAAAAAGAAAATACATTTCCTTACATTCATATAATTACCCATGTTACATTTATTGCAGTAAATCATATATACCACATTAGAGTGATCACAATCTAATCTGGGGGTGCATATATATGCAATCTGTCCCAGGTACATGGAATAAGCTGTCTGTTGTGATGACAGTGCAAAGTTGGCACCTAGGTTTTAAACATGGTGTGTTTCCATACTCTTGGGTGGTAGGAAGTAATTTGGATGAAGTCAAAATCGATTTCAAATTGGGTGGCTGTCGTCTAGCAATGATAGGTGGATTGCAAAAAGGAGGTGCAATCCTGGATATATATATATATATACTGTATATCGTTATACGTCACGTAGGTCCTCCAACATGGCGTCAGTGTCCTCACTTATTATCTGTACACAGATTGGCCGATGAGCAATCCAGCTATTGTACTAGAGATCAGTGGATCGGACGCAGGGACAGAGCCTTGGTGGGGTCTACTTAGGTGATAAAAAAAAAAACAGATACGGCACTGTATCTAAAAAATATTTTTACAAAATATTAAAGTATATTCAGAAAAAAATATTCTCAAGCCATATATACTTCATTTCGCTCTGAGGCTTAGTATTGGGTATTTCATGAGGCTCTGATAGAATATAATATTGACAACAATAGAACAATCATCCACCTACTTATAATGAAGTAAATCTAAAATGTATTTATGAAGTATGATCACCTAGACGTGATTCAAAAACGTACATAATTAAACCAACTTTAAAATATCAAACAAAAACAATTGCTTTAAAGATATGCTTTTAAAGAGTATTTTAGTGTACCGTGGTACAAAGCATACGTAATTACAGTACATGAGTGAAAGAAAATAACCTTCAATTAATTCAAAAGATACCAAGCCCTTCATGGCTTGTGGTTTTTTTTTTCTTTCTTTTTATTTTTTGGTGGGTGTGTGTGTGTTTTTTTGTTTTTGTTTTTGTTTTTTTAAATAAATAAATAATAATCAATGCGCTGTCGAAGAAAACTAAACAAAAATGCCAAATATTGGAAGTCCACATTTAATGTATTCGCCTTTTTTCTTTTTTTTTTTTTAGTAATTTCTACCGTATTAATTAAAGATTTACATAATATTTGTGCTTCTTTTGATATTTTACTATCCAGATACGCAATAAGAGGTAATTATTTGCTTTACAATGGAGTCAATCACATGTATTTTATCGTCTTTCTATAATGATAAACCTTTTCCTCTACGTAGTACACGTTACTTTTTACATTGTTTTGCCTGTAGATATAATTTAGTATAGTATGTAGTTTTCTATATCCCATATAAAGCCTTGGATCGTTAAGGGCATGTGTTTAGTCATTCAATCCATAGATGCTTAAGCTTGTGTTTAAAAAATTATACTTAGCGCCCTCTCTCGGATAAAGTAACCATCCCAACATCAAAATGATGTTTTAATCAACCGACGAGAAAAAAAAATTGTACCATTACCGGTACATTAGCTAACAATTGTCATTAAGTTCTACAGTCTGTTTTATATACTTTTGTGTGAAATAAACGACTGTGTCTGAGTGCCGATAAGTAAGACAACATCTCTATGGAGATTATATCTTTTTATCCAGAATGAATTTTATAAAGGCAACCAGTTTTTTTGTTTGTTTGTTTTGTTTTGTTTTGTTTGTTTGTTTGTTTTTGTTTTTTGTCACTTATCAATTGGAGTAGTCATCGATTACACGAAAAATGTAGTTTCCTCAACGGTGATGGTTCAATACTTTGAATTCCATTGATTGTTATATTAAGCCCTGTCTAGACTATCAAATTTTATTTGACAAAGTGACATGCCTAATATGGTCATGATGACGTCACATATGCACATCATAATGGGCATACAACAGTCTTTTGTCGAAGAAATTTTATAATCTGGACAGAGATTTATGTATTTCTTAGATTCTTTATCCATAATGTGTGTTATTCCTACGCGCGCATACGCGCCCATAAAAGGCTCATTACGTGCGCCTCTGTTTAGCCAATTGATTGGCCACCTAATGTAATTTACATTACAAGCGAATAAATGCGGGCTCGGATTTAAATATTACGTAATATTGCGAAGTGCTGACACTTTATATATAAATAAATTGATCCTCTTTAGCTCAGCCTTGAAATTAAGTACCTCTATCTATTGATCTCTCAATTAAAAATTGTCATAAACGTTTAGGCCTATTATAATTTTCCAGCATGTTTGTACGACACAAAGGCAGACATTAAATAATAGTACATTAATTTACATTTAATTCCGTATCTCGGTGCGTAGGCTTACTGCATTGCGTTCATAAATGCAGCCCTCTGATTTCCATTAATCAATGTAATGTTGTTGTTGAAAGAAGTCAAAATAATAAAATATGGAATGCATATTAGGTCTATATTATATTTTTTATTTTAATTCTTAGTGAATTTAATTAAAATAGTGTGTGTAGAGTTCCCTTTTAAATTTCCAAGTGTGTCCCCTTTCCGAGTAATTTTCCCCCGTGGGCCATGAAGCGCGACTCGTTTTATTGGAACTAGAAACTAAATGGCTAATTACTGCTACGTTTAAAACAATAATGTGCATCCGTAGCTTACATAGCTACTGTACCGTACTTTGTCCTGTGGTTGGTTGTACGGTACAACGTTTCTTTATGAACATATTACCGTACGTAGGCCCAATCATAATTAAATCAGTCTCTTAATGAGTCTATGGTCATAATGTAAACATAAACTTAGGCCCATTCATTGTCGGTTTGGCGGAATATTCGCAAACAAAAACCATTAACGGCATTCCACAGTATGCCCGGCGAAATGAAATGATCATTTGTTTAGAAGTATACGAGTGCTGTGAAAATATGGGCCTACTATACGTTTGTATACTCGAAAATATAAAATATGGGTTATGAGATACAAAAATGTCTTTATGCAATAACAGAAAACGTTCAAAGCTCATCGTTACCTGTCCACGAAGTATCAAAACGGAAGAATATGAGGGCGCCTTACTTCCATTCATTACTTTTTAGACGTTGTTTTATGTTTGTGCCTCATTATATACTGATTTTCTTTTCTATGCAAGTATTAATGTTCGCGAAATCTTATAATAATGTACAACATGGAAACTTAATTATTCTTACTTGTACGAAATGTAAATAACGTTAAATGTGAGTACAATTACACGAATGCTTTAAAGGAAGAAGGTAATAAATAAGTTTGCTGATCAATGCTTTCCATTTAAACATGTCTTTTCGAAAACCAAATTTAATGTCTACGATAAAATATATAACATTTGGTCTTCTAAACTTATCCTTATTAGGTAAAGGGATCATTAATGAAAAAAATATATCGTGAAGAAATATATCTAGGCCCCATGCATCATTAAAATATCTCTTGGTTTGTAAATGAATACATTAGACTTTTTGTTTATTTTAGTAGTGTAATTGCTTATTATTTGCTTTTGTTTTCGTCAAATAGCTTGGGCTCAGTTAGCCAAACAAAGCTAAAATGTTTAAAGAATGTTCTACCATGTTACACAGATCACATTAGTATCAGAAGCAACAGGATGGAAGTTAATGGGCCTAATCAATTATTAATCATTCAAAATGAGGAAAACACACCGATAATAGGCCTGTTTACTAGTTTCACGATCGTGATTCTAAATTTAGTAAATGTAGAATCCGAGACGCAGAGAAGGTAT